TTGGCTCAGCGCCCAGTTGCGCTGGGGCAGCTCGGGCAGCGCCTGGGCATCGAGCAGGGCCTGGCAGCTGGGGGGCATGGTGGGAGGCACAGCCGGCGCTGCAGGACAGCGGGGCCGTGGGCATCCCTTTGCTGTCCCTGCCCACCTCCCACCCTGGCCACCCTGGGCTGCACTTTGGGATGGATGTGGAGCAGAGAAGGGATCAGGCAGCGTTTGGGTAGGGTCTGCAGGGAATGGGGCACTGTTTGATTAAGGTGTCCAGGCAATATTTGGGTAGGGTCTTGAGGAGATGGGGTGGTTATTTGTTAGGATTTTTGCAGCAGTGTTTGGGTAGGGACTTGGTGGTTGTTCAGTAGGGTCTCTAGCAGGTAGGGCGATGTTTTGGGAGGATCTCCTGGGAGTCTCCTGGTAGTCCATAGGGGAAAGGGCAGTCTTTGGGTAGGGTCTTGGGGTAGTGTTTTGGTAGGGTCTCGCGGGGATGAGGCAGTGGTTGGGTAGACGTTGGGCAGTGTTTGGGTAGGGTCTCCAGGGGATGGGGTGGTGTCTGGGTGGGGACCCGGGGAGGTGTGCCAATGGGGCCGTGACTCACGTGGGCAGCGGTGAGTGATGTTGGCACAGGGCGGGAAGAGGCAGGGGGCACAGAGCCCACAGGCACCCCGCTGCCGCTGGTGCTCGGCCAGGGCCCCCTCCAGAGCCAACAGGGCACTCCTCAGCGCTGCCTCCAGCACCAGCGTCCCCCGGCTTGACAGCGCTGGAGAGTGCATGGCAGGGCGCTCAGACCCCCAGCACTGCAGAGCGCCCACCGGCGCCCGTGCCCCTTGCTCTGTGCTGACCTGCCCTGGGCACCTGCTGCAGCGGGCACCTCCGCAGCGGGTGCCAGGCTGGGGAGAGCCCAGTGCAGCCCCAGCACAGACTCCAGCACCCCGTCGGCACTGCTTGGGGTGATGGGCACCCTGACACCTGGGGTCTATCCCTGGCACATGGGGTGGCAGATGGGGTGGCACAGGGAAGGTGTTTCCCAGCGCCCATGTGTGCCCTGCTGCACATGTAGCCCTTGTGAGCACACACGTGTGCGAACACGGGCATGCAGTGGTGTGTGTGCCAGGCAGGTGTGCCCATGCCTGCGTGCATGCCCGTGTGCACCCGTGTGCGTGCGCACATGTCTGCATGCCCATGCGTGTGCACGCCCACGCCTGTGCCTGCTGCTCCCCCCCCTCCCATAGCCACTGTATAGCTCCCGGTGCCCCCTGGCAGAGGAGCTCGTGGGGCTGCTGCAGGTACACGGGACAGGAGGAAGAGCTCACTGGCTGCAGGGCACAAACCCTGCATCCCCTGCTGCAACCTCAGTTTCCCTCGCATGTTCCCCGGGCAGCACTTGCCACCAACCCCAGGCCCCGGGGGTTGGGGAGACTTGTCCTGTCCCAGGACAGGGACCCAGGCGTCCTACTTGCTCACTCCTCCCTGGAGAGAGAAGCCAAAAGTCCTGGTTCCCACAGCCTCACCCCCTCCTTGGCAGCCAAAACCCTCCCGCAAAGTTGCCCCCATCCCCATGCCCCGTTGCCGAGGCAGGCACTGAACTTGCAGGACGCCGGGCGGCATGGGGTACAGCGCCGGGCCCAGGGGTGCCCCCCCCGCCAGCTGCAGGAGGTGCAGGAGGTGCAGGAGCACAGGGTGCCGCAGGTGGGCACTGGAGCGGGCGGCGGGGAGAGCCGGCCCCGTCCTCTTCACTCCTCGCTCCATCCCCGGCGGGAGAGGGGGGCAGCAGGGGGGAGCCCCCAAAGTGCTCGAGGCGGGCAAGGAGAGGCGGATATATACAGTGCCCCCCGGGCGGTGGGAGGAGAGAGGGGCCAGGGGAGCGCAAACAGGCGAGTTCATT